GCCCCACTGATGCAATCCAAGGATACTATGACATGACTTGGTGGACCCAGCTCACCCAATTACATCCATATGTCTCTAGCGCTGCTAAAGCCTCATCACTTATCCATCCTGTGATTAAGGTAGCTCACAGAATCATTGCTTCGCTCGTCGCCCCTAGAGAGGAGCGAAGCACCATTAGCGCGCTGGAACTTAAAATCCTTTATGCAATGACCCATCCCGAGAATAACCTCATTCCTCATTATGGTCGGTTTCTGTGCCACAAGCTCATCCGCCTTAGCGCATCCCGATCAGGAAAGATTGTTTGCGGGGGTATTGTCAGCATGCTCGCCAAGAGCGCCCACATCCGAGCCCCATACCCCGGTCCCCACCAGCCACTGCCGGGTGAGCCTTATCTCACCACTGCTATCCTTGAGTCAATGCGACTCTTCCGCTCAGCAGGCGATGGTACACACCACTGGACCGTGGGTCAAAATCATGATCCCAAGCTCCTCATCACACCAGAAAATAAAGGCATTCTTGATTTCCGAAATCCCATTCATATGACTGATTGGCAAATCATTCCATACATCTTCCCCCACTCTTATTCCACCGAGGTCGATGAGCAAAGCGAAGAAAACGAGGAAGAAGGTGATGATGATGAAGGAGAGGAGGAGCCTCACCATGCTTCTCCCACCGGTGGTGGCAGCTCATCCCATTTTGCCGCACCCCCGCCTTATCATCAACAATATATGGATGAATTCCAATCAATCCATACCCACCTTGACACCTATCAGCAGGATATTACCAGCCTGACCCAGAATTTTTCCACCTTCACCACCCAGTACGCTCGGGATCAAGAGCGTCAACGCAAACATGAGGAGGACTTCTGGGCTTGGACCCGAAACCCCAGCTACTATCCTCCTCCTCCACCTCCGTTTTAGGTTGTTCCACCCTCTCCAAGCATCGGGGACGATGCTTATCTTTAAGCTTGGGGAGGGGTAGACTTGTATTTTAGGTTCACTCATTCTCATACATGCATTTTCTTATTTTCAATTTTTCAAATTTTCTTATTTTCAAATTTTCTTATTTTCAAATTTTCTCTTATTTTCAAATTTTCATTCATATGACAAAAAAAAAAAAAAAGTGTACGAGATGATGACACTCTTTACATACAATTGCTCCATGAAATGAAAAATACCGAAGCAACCGGATTGTTACCGGAAGCATAGAATCAGCTGTCATAACTAGGGGACCCAAATATCGTAATTCGAGACCCTACCCTCAGATAATAAAAAAATTTATATTGAAACGTTTTTTGGGCGGTAATAACAGCTTTAGGATGATTTGCTTTTGAATGTTTAAAAAGAATCTTTATCGGCAACTCTGAACCCACAGAACACGGACCTATTTGTTGACACGCGTTACCCCCGCGGTAACAGAGAGCTTATGTATCAGACCCACACAGTCGAGAATGAAGGAAGGGTACAACTGTCATATCCAGTACCCCAATCAGAATTTCAAATACCAAAACGAAGAAATCTAAAGAAATTCCAAAGAAATTCCAAAGATGAAGATTGAAGAATCCAAATTCAAAACGAAGTACAAATCAAAGCTCAATCAAATCAAAAGCCAACTCAAGTCAAATATGGCGAATGAAGAACTGTGTGATATGATACTTGTGGCTCTCGAAAAAGTGAAAGCATAGGAGCTGAGCCCCTTCGGGTGGGCTCACTGTTTCAGCGAAAGCTGATTCGCCGTGACGGGTTCTTAAGGAGGCGTCGATTCTGATTCTTGGCCATTTAGTCTTAAGGACATGAAATCCGGACTATGTTATTTTCGCCCATAAAGCTTAGTAAGGTATAAAGATTAAATAAAACTTTGGTTGGATTATTGGGTTACACCGTTTCGGGTCTTCCTCACATTGAGAGTCTGTGATATGTGGAAGGAAACAGGATGGTTGCCAAGGTATCAATGATCGAAGCCCTATTGATGTAAAGTCTGATCGTACCTTTATTTAGTTACAAAAGTACATATTTTGTGTTTGTTCTTAATTTTCTTTTCTTTTGCTTCATTTTGTTTCTCAGGTGCATTTGAACATATTTTCATGGCATTGCATTGCATGCATTCATTCTTAACCTTTAGGATCCTTCATCCCCTTTTCGTTCTAAGTTTTTCTTTTTGCCATCTAGAAATCGTCCTGTTGTCCGGTTCTTGTTCTTTCTTGAGGACAAGAAAGGTCTAAGCTTGGGGAGATTTGTTAGGTGCTATTTGTGCACCTTTTTGCACACCTTTTAGTCCCATTTTATGCATATATTTAGCAAAATTGTTCTTCCTTTTCCTTGCATTTTATCATATTCATTTTAGTCTTAGAACAACCTTATTTGCACACTTTTATATCTTTTTCAGGTAAACCGGAGGTGGAACGCGCTTTGGGAAGTGTCGGGAAGCATTGGTGGAGATTTCGGGACGATCCGGCGAAGAACTAAAAGTTGGAAAAAATCAAGTTTGGAATTGGAGTCAGAGAGGTACACGGGGCGTGTTGATTTACACTGAAAAATCAACACGGGGCGTGTTTGACCAAAATGGGAGCTGTTGACCATGCTGAACACGACCCGTGCCAGTTTAGCCTATTTTAACACGGGCCGTGTTCGACCCAGAAACCAACTTTTGGCAGTTTTTCTATCTTTCATATTACGGGTTGAGGATTAGAGGGAGAGAAAAAAAAGATACCAGAGCACCATTGGAGGAGGATTTTCAAAGGTTTTTGCAAGGGTTTGATTAGCAATCATTTGGAAACATTATTTCTAGTATTTGTAAGTTGTAATTGCACTTTAATTCCATCTTTTATTCTTGTGATCTTGTTCTAGCCATGTGTGGCTAGAACCCTAATTTCTCCAATTTCATGTTTTGACTTCTTGGTAGTGACTTCATTCATATGACATGATGTTTGTTCTTAATTTCTATTTAATGAATTTATTTTGCTTCAATCGAATGTTTGATTCTAAT